GAGACGCAAAGCCGGTTGCGGAAGACAAACATACAGCCAGCGTACGCCTACGAGACGAGCTACCTCCGCGCGCTTGTTCTTGCCATGTCCGACACCGCCGAGTCGCTCACCCTCCCTGTCGAGACGGCACCGCTCTTGGAGATGGCTAATATGGACTGGCCGCGTCTGCATACGCTGTCGCTCACCGGGCGATATACCCATCCAAATCAATGTCGTGCTATCCCCCTCCTCCTTCTGCGCATGCCGAACCTGCGCTCACTCTCGGTCAAAGTGATGCAGTGCGAAGTAATGCGACGTCCCCTTCTGCTCAAGGAGCCTCCGGATACTAGCTACCGCCTACGGTCATTGACGATCTCGTATCCGAACCCGGAAGATCCGATTTTCTCGTATATCGGAGATGGTCTAACTTCCCTCTCGCTCCGCGATAGTCCGAGGCACTACTTTGCGTCTCGTTACAGCCGTCGATACCTCCCAGCCATATTCCCGATCCTCAGGGCGTCCGAATGTTTAGCCATCCTGAAGCGCGTCTCCGCCCCTCGACTCTCGGTACTCGAACTAGTCTATCAGACCGACGCCGCTGAGGATGAGCTCCTGCAGTATCTTCCAATGGCGTTCCCCCTTCTCCAGGAAATCGAGTTGCACCGATACAAAGCATCCCTCAAAGACACCGTCCCCTATGTGAGTATGCACACGAACACGACCACCCGAGTGGCTGACGCTCACCCTTGCCATAGCTGCATATCGCACAGACGCTGAAGCTCAATAAGTACCTACGCGCGCTCTACCTCAACGTCGACATCAAGGATCGTTCGTTCCGATATGAAATCCTCCGCGCCGACTCAGGGAAGAACCGCAGACAACGTGGGCTGGAACTCGTGAGCGTCTTGCAAAGCGGCACATATTTCGAGTACGTCGCGCTGCCCCTCCACACTCACACAGCGGGCACGTGGACCCTGTATCGTCCGGCGTGGTCGCCCCACGGGACCGTCGACGAGAACTCGCCCCACGCGATGTAAGTGTTCTTTGCCGGTCTCGACGAGACAGACGCTGATCGCCCACACAGAGACTCGCCTGCGTATCTTCGTACGGACAAAAGACATGTTAGATAATGCTCAGCACTTTTACGGTACCGCCCTCTCACCGGTATCCCTTGCGACCGTTACCTTTTTTTCTGCGACGTCGGGACGTGGTATGTATAAGTATGCCCTCTGGTGACGAGCCTGAATGTAAGCCGCACATACGGACGTACGCCTACAGATGATGCGGAGCGCCCTTATGGAATCCCTCATGAAGCTCTCCCATTGCTGCGTAAGGGCTTCTCGCGCCTCGCTCCACTAAGGCGTCAAACGTTTCGAAGTCCATATCAGAGAAGAGTAGAGCTAATGATACAAGGAGCGAGAGATCTCAGAGAACTATACTACGGGAGGCGGCGACCGTTGTTGGCGTATGTTCGGACGTTCGCGGACGCGTATCGTCTGTGCATCGGCCACCAGGGGCCGCCGTCGAACATCCGATGAAACTCGGGGTATATACAGCACCCAAGATTGTCCTATAATATCTCTGTTGTTCAGCTCGCTCGTATGGCAACGTTGCACAACATGATGCCGCTCACCAGTGATCCACCCAACACAGCAGCGAGTGATGGTTTACGAGTCCAGTGTCGTACCAGCGTGAGACTGAATGCACGCTCGAACAATCCTTTTCCTGCAACACGGTTGACGCCACAGTCGAACGTTTTATGTTCACATTATCGCTCCAGGACGCTGTCCGAGTATCCGACCGATCAGCGCGAGAAAAAAAATATGGAACGTACCATCATTGATACGCTTCTATCCTAATGCGAGGACAAGACGCGTCCCACCTTCGATATGACAGATGATGGGGTTGAGTCTCGAGTGTGCGACGCCGACGGTTCTATGATAGGGTGACGTCCATATCCCCTGAATGATCGCGCTTGCCGTGCAGATCAGAGCCAAAATTTTCAATTTATTGGTACGAGGGTGAACATCAAGGTCATCGCATCGCTCTTGAGAGGGCTTGGAGCTGTCAACTCGGATGTTTGAGCCGCGAGACTAGTACTACTCACTTTTCCAAATTATCTTCGCGAGAAGGAGGACACCCGTCCGCTTATATTTGTCGAAGAGTATAGCTGCCTTCTGAAGGTTTTTTTGTGCATAGATGAGCTCATCAGAGTTTTCCCTGCAAGATGAAAGGCAAGCGGGGAGCACGAGTGCGTGGACCTCGAAAGAGGACTGCAAGCGCCCGGCCACCGCTGTCAAACATGCACAACTAGAGAGCCGGCACACGCCACACTCACTCCGCCTATGCTACGATCTACCACTGGTACCACTCACCGCACATCTTCCTTCGCGCGAACGGCTACCTCCTAGTCAGCTTCCTGGTCTCTCGATTGTCTCTCCTTTGATCTGTATGTTTGTCTGTCTGCGACCATAGGCGACTTCGACGACCTCGGATTTGGTTCAACATTCCGGCCGGTGATCCCACGTCTAGCCTGTAGTGCGCCTCGCTGCATCCATACTCAGTCTTTTGCCACGCCGACGGCCTCGCGTCACCATGTCTACGATTTTCAGGTAGGAATCTAAACACTTACTTGTGCACATCTGCTTACTACCTGCAGACTAGGCGATCTCAACGAGGACGTTATATACCGCGTCCTCCAACAGGTCGCAGCTCTCGTTACGCAAAGTGATGAATCCAGCATCGCCCTCAAGAATCTATCGACCACTTGCAAGCGCATGCGCTCATACTGTATGCCCGTCCTCTTTTATGAGTGCAGGTCTATAGTGCGCTTTGGCGGCGTTCCACCAGAGACTATTCGCCCTTACGTTAGGTTAGCTCGTACGGCAATGTCGTCCGTGTGTCTACCCTAATCCACTCATACGAAGGCACCTCAAGTACGTACGCGCTTTCTTCAAGTTAGAAGAAGCATACGCTGCCGGATACTTCAATGGTCATGTGGTTCCCATGCCATTGGTCGATTCCTTCGGCAACAGGATCGTCAAAATCCCTCCCCCTCCTCCATTTGGTCTCGAACTGGACTACCTCCCCAACGTACGAGCCGTCACGTTTCTCCGGGCCCCGGGAGGCGTGCCCTGGTACGCTTTCATGAAATGCCTGGAATATCCTAACGTCACCTCTATTTCTATCTACAAAGACGCGGCTTGGATATGTGCCCCGCCACTCCCTACCCTGTCCGACCTATCAGCACCCCATAACTGTCGGCTCACGGAATTTAAATACACACCATGTCAATGGCGCGAGACGCGAAGCCGTTTGCGGAAGACAAACCTAGGCCCAGCGCACGACCGCGAGAGAAGTTATCTCCACGCACTTGTTCTTGCCATGTCGGACACCGTCGAGTCGCTCGCCCTCCCCGTCGAGACGGCGCCGCTCCTGGAGATGGCCAACAAGGACTGGCCGCGCCTGCATACACTATCCCTCGTCGGGCGATATACTCAGCCGGATCAATCTCGCGTTATCCCTCTCCTACTTTTGCGCATGCCAAATCTGCGCTCCCTTTCCATCAACGTAATGCAATGCAAGGGGATGTGGCGCCCGCCTTTGCTCAGAGGACTCCCTGATACTAGCTACTGCCTACGGTCGTTGACGGTCTCGTATCCGAATCCCGACGATCCGATTTTCTCTTGTGTCGGGGACGGCCTAACTTCCCTCTCGCTCCGCGATAGCCCGAGACACTACTTCCGAACACGTTATAGCTATCGAGCTCTCTCCGCAATATTCCCGATCCTCAGCGCGTCCGAATGTTTGGCCATTCTGAAGCGCATCTCCGCCCCTCGGCTCTCGATTCTCGAGCTGGTCTATCAGGCCGACTCCGCTGAGGACGAGCTTCTGCATTATCTATCGCATGCATTTCCACTCCTCGAGGAACTCGAACTGCACCGATATAAAGCATCACCCGAAGACAGCGTCCCCTACGTGAGTGCGCACACAAACACGACCGCCCCGGCGCTCCTCGCTGACCCTCATTATAGTTGCATATCGCGCACACGCTGATGCTCATCAAATACCTCCGCGCGCTCTACCTCAATGTCGACATCATGGAGCGTGCGTACAAGTATGGAAACTCCGGCGCCGACCTGGAGAAGAATCGCAGCGAACGTGGGCTAGAGCTCGTGAGCGTCTTGCAAAGCGGCGCATTCTTCGAGTACGTCGCGCTGCCCCTCCACATTCCGTCGGCCGTCATCTGGATTTTGTATCGGCCGGCGTGGTCGCCCCACGGCACCGTCGAACGGGACTCGCCGCACGCGACGTAAGTGTTCCTTGCCGCTTCAACGTAACAGACGCTGATGGTTCACACAGAGATTCACTTGCGTATCATCGTAAGATACATCACAGATATAGCAGATAAGGCCCGACATCTTTACGGTGCCGCTCTCGCACCTACGTCTCCTCTGTGTTTCGTTCACCCTTCGCGATGTCCCGAGACGGAGCGCACATTCTAGTACTATAACGTCCAGTAACCAAGATTAGCCTCTCAGACTGCTATTCGGACTCGATTAGCCAGCGTGCCTTCCCCGTGGTGTGCGCTGTGCACAGTGGTTGGTTTCCACGATATGCAGATGCACTAACGTTGTGTATAAGCTCAGATGAGAGCGGCCCCGCACCCGCCGACAGTATGTATACGTACTGCCCACTGAGCGCTGCGCCCCGCCCAGCCGCATATAGGCGTCTGAACAGGACAAACTTGGATCAAGTATATGCGCGCCTTGTTCCTCAACCTCGACATCACGGAGGACGTCTACCAGTCGTGGAAAGCGCCCGACAACCGCAGACTCCAGGACCAGCTTGTCAAGACTCGCTACGGCGAGTCATTCGTCCCTCCCGACGTGACAGACGCTGACCACTCGTGTAGAGACTCTAAGGCTCTTCAACTCCAGAAGTTTACATACCGGCCATACGAGGTTGCCCTTATGGCATCACAAACAAGCTCTTCCTATCTACTCCGTGTCATAGACTCCGGGGTGTATTGCTAAGATACTGATGTTTTACTGCTTGTTCTCCGGGCCCGTCCATATGTCCGATGGCGCGACTTCGAGGTATCTCAAACTTATATTCAAGAGCATGAATAATGCCAGCATACACGGAAGGAAGTGATTACGCTGGATCCATGACGGACACGAAGATCATGGATGTGCATGAAGCATGGCTCGCGTTGAACGTGTAACAAAGCATCGAGGCGGCGCGCACGCGCGCCACTAGTATATACTACCTAGGGTATGGCGGAACTACACACAAAATCAGGTAAGCCGTACCTGAGCGTGTGGCTATTGCACGAATGACAAGATGAGGAAACCGTACAGGCATAGAAACCAAAAAGACCGGGCGACGAGCGTGTTACGAGCTGCAAAGGCGTCGAAGCGGGTGGCGCGCGCGGCGCGACCGCCTATACCTGAGAGAGTACTGTAAGGCAGCCAAAAGATGAACGAGAACATGTGGAAGCAGATCCGAAATGACAGGCTTACATTTGGGCTGGCCAGATGAAGAAAGCGAAAATGTACCAGGCCGCAAGTGCTAGATATTCGCCGGAGGTGACGAATGTGCGGGCGGCGGCTCAGCGACGCGAGTTTCTGGGATCCATGTGTTGAGCCCAGTGCTGTTCAGTCCACTCGCGGTTCACGTTGGCTCTCCACGCATCATAGCAGTCCCACCTCTTCTGTTGCAGCGATCGTGTGTCGTCACGCCCAAACAGCGGGTTGAAGATGCCAGCCGGGATGCTTTCTTCCGAGGGGTACGAGTATCTGTAGCCGGACGGGTCCTCCAAGAACTCGAAGAGCCCGACCGCGAGCGCCACCCGGTGCCATCGGCGGCTTCTTGTCAGCGGGCCCTCGCACACCTCAAAGCTGGTGTGGCGGCAGTTCCTCCGGGGCGGATCCATATCATGCACGGACAGATGCCGCACGTGCGGGAATGGCTCGATGAGGCTAAGCCACTTGTAGAACGTCATCCCGACGTTGCTGAGGGACACCGTCAGGGAGCGCACGTTGCTCAGAGCGCCGGAGCCGAGCCAGTCGTAGTGGAGGTCGTCCGCCGTGTCTGCGGGCTGCGTCCATTCCCAGAGCGCCTGGATGCGTTTGTCGACGTCGGAGAGTTCGAATGTGTATCGCTTGTGGTCGATCCCTGGGGTCATGGCATAGGTGATGCAGACATGTTCGGCGGCGGAGAGCATGGTGCGCAATGGAGCCATGACTCCTGAGCGAGGATGTGGGAAGGAGACACGTACACACGCGTTGGAGGGCAGGATGAGCTTGGAGAGAAATTCGTCCACTGTTTGTGAGAGGTAGCCACATAAGATCACATGCGTCAGAAGTGGCAATCGTACAGTGGACATCGTGCCTGCCCGGCTTTCGTCAAGGACGAGTTGATGGCGGTTGAGGCTGGAGACATAGAGCGTCTGGAGAGCGGGGGTACGTCCGAGGATCCCCAGCAGCGAACGGAAAGACACCTTCCAATTGGTCTGTACTTCGAGGTTGCGTAGTCGTTCCATCCCGTTCGGGATGGATGGAAGTTCCAAGGGGCGCAGGTAGCCGCGTTCGCCGGTTCCAGGATGTACTGATGGTGTACCATTTATGCCCGACGCGTCGAAGAGTACGGAAACAATTCGACGATTATGCCACCGAAAGAAATTCTCCTGTGTAAGCGTGATACTGGGGGTTTGAGTCGGCACCGCGTCGCCGGGAACCCGTACATGCTCTGGAGTCCGCTCTGGACCTATAATACGAACTTTAGGAGATCGAAGGTCACTGCAAAAGATAAACCTCAGATGTAAAAGCTGTTCCCGGGAAGTGGAGGATGTGATCGGCCCGGACTCGTCGAACGCAAGGGAGGTAAGGTGGGCGATGTTCATATTGCCGTCAGTTGGCTGAGGGAAATGTAGAGTGTTGTGGTCTTGGGGAATATTTTGACGATGTCTTATACGTGTGATGTCTGTGTAAAGACTCAACACAGGTGAATATACTATGGATGTGTGAGGGAGCTTGTTGCGCCACACCTCAAGCGAAATCCTAGGAAGTCACGCTAAGACCAAAGTTTCAGTCAAATGCCGCTATATAGTTACCTGGAAACTCCAAGCTCAGTGTCGGATGTATCGTGAAGGAGCAAAAACAACAACAATTGGAGGTCGTAGCCGCAGAAGAGAGAGACTGTGTACCAAGGTTAACAGCGCCCACGTCTAGTAGTTATAGGGGCGCTAAGATTTGTAATCAGGCGCTTAACTATACTTCTGGGGATCCCATTACCTTCGGCGACCGTGCTCGCGGCGCACGCTCCTCTTGCCTGCCCGTCCAAGACCGTCTCAGGCCTCAAACATCATCTCTCGCTCTCTCTCAATAGACGACTTTCCAGAGCTGGAGTTGGGTGAAGTCTGAGCGCGAGCGGTCGAGCGTCGCCTGTCTAGCTGGTGGTCGTCAATCGCTGGCATTACTACATCGTCACCACGTCCTGCCGCATCGTCTATCCTTTTGACGTGAAACCACGACCTGATGTCACTATGTCTACAATTCTAAGGTAGGGATCGTAAAACTCATTTACACACATTTGCTCACCACCTGCAGATTTGATGATCTCAACGAGGATGTTTTATACCATGTCCTGGTCCAGATCGCAGCTCTCAGAACGCAAACCGACGAACGTAGCATTGCTCTCAAGAATCTATCGACAACGTGCAAGCGTATGCGCTCATACTGTATGCCCGTCCTCTTCCATGAATGTCGGTCTATACATCGCTTCGGTGGTGTGCCACCGGAGACGCTCCGTCCTCATGTTAGGTTAGCTCAAAGGACAATCTCATCTGCGTGTACACTAATCCGCTTATACAAAGGCACATCAAATACATGCGCGGTTTTTATCACATCAAAGACGTCTGTGATGCTGGATTCTATGACGGCTTGCTGGTCCCTATGCCATTGGCTTCCTGCAACAGTATCGCCAAAATCCCTACCCCTCCTCCGTTTGGTCTCGAGCTCGATTACCTTCCCAACGTGCATGCCGTCACATTTCTCCTGTGCCCAGGAGGCGTGCCCTGGTACGCTCTCACAAAATGCCTGGAATACCCTAACGTCACGTCCATTTCCATTGACAAAGACTCGGCGTTGATATGCACCCCACCGTCCCCCATCCCGTTTGACCTGTCACCGACATCCCATGGCTGTCGGCTCACAGAATTCATATACACCCCATCTCAGTGGCGTGAGACGCAAAGCCGGTTGCGGAAGACAAACATACAGCCAGCGTACGCCTACGAGACGAGCTACCTCCGCGCGCTTGTTCTTGCCATGTCCGACACCGCCGAGTCGCTCACCCTCCCTGTCGAGACGGCACCGCTCTTGGAGATGGCTAATATGGACTGGCCGCGTCTGCATACGCTGTCGCTCACCGGGCGATATACCCATCCAAATCAATGTCGTGCTATCCCCCTCCTCCTTCTGCGCATGCCGAACCTGCGCTCACTCTCGGTCAAAGTGATGCAGTGCGAAGTAATGCGACGTCCCCTTCTGCTCAAGGAGCCTCCGGATACTAGCTACCGCCTACGGTCATTGACGATCTCGTATCCGAACCCGGAAGATCCGATTTTCTCGTATATCGGAGATGGTCTAACTTCCCTCTCGCTCCGCGATAGTCCGAGGCACTACTTTGCGTCTCGTTACAGCCGTCGATACCTCCCAGCCATATTCCCGATCCTCAGGGCGTCCGAATGTTTAGCCATCCTGAAGCGCGTCTCCGCCCCTCGACTCTCGGTACTCGAACTAGTCTATCAGACCGACGCCGCTGAGGATGAGCTCCTGCAGTATCTTCCAATGGCGTTCCCCCTTCTCCAGGAAATCGAGTTGCACCGATACAAAGCATCCCTCAAAGACACCGTCCCCTA